TCTGTCCCCGACCCCTGCTCACCCCCATCCAGCATCCCAGGGATAGAGCTCCTTGGGGGAGCCACAGTGCCCCAGAGCAAGCAGCGAAGGCAGGGAGGACACGGCTCGAAGGTAGAGGAGCAAAGCCAGCTTTGAGTTGTCCTCAGCTGCCCTGAGCTCATTACGGTCCCTGGGGAGCAAGCTCTCAGTTCACGCCCACTGTCACTCCAGGGAGGCACTTTTTGCTGGAGAGAAGGGACTGTGACCTCTTGCTCCTGGAGAGAGCAGGACGGGGAAAGGTGGTGGCCCTGGGCAGGGACCTCTCCAGAGCTGTATCCAGAGCATCCTGCCCTGGCTCAGCCCAGAGCGAGGAGGCAGGACCAGGACCAGCACGTGCAGGATGCTGAGATGCATCATGTGTAGTAAGGAGTGTTGTAGCCCCACCCTGACATTCTCTCCCACACACACATCCAACAGCTCACTGAGCCCCTAGATGGGTGTGGAGCCTTTGGGAAAAGCAGGGATAAAATTCTGGATGTTAATCCCATGACTCACTAAGCGGCTATCACTCCTAAAATTCAACCCAAAGCCACTGAAATTATGGATGGGAGACAAAATCCCACACCTTCAGGATTTCCATGGAGGAAAGCCTGGTCTGTCCTGGGGATAGTCTTTTCCTCATGTTTAGAGACAAGCAGCAGCCAGGCACTTGCAGACAGGCACTTGGTCCCCTGACATGGGGCTCACAACCTTGGCCACTGGTCCTGCCCCCTCCCTGGCTCTCTGGAGATCCAGCTCCTTTGGACATCACTCTGTGCTCTTTCAGGGGATCCTGAACTGTTCTGGGTCTCGAGTGCAAGGATCCAGCTTCAGCTCAGATCCCGCTTTTCTCCTGAGGAGGCAGAAAGTTCACAAGAAACACTGAACGTGGGAAAATTAATAGAATCATAGAATGGTTTGGGTTGGAAGAGACCCTAAAGATCATCTAGTTCCAGTCCCCTGCCATGGGCAGGGACACCCTCCACTAGCCCAGGTTGCTCAAAGCCTCATCCAGCCTGGCCTTGAACCCCTCCAGGGATGGGGCATCCACAGCTTCTCTGGGCAAGAGAGAAAATTGCACTACTCAAGGAGCAGAAAGTCTCACAAAGCCACTTCCAGGCTTAACTCCCTCGCACTGACAGCTCCTTCCATCCCCCAGGTCTGGCCCCACAACCTGACCCCAGCCAGGCTTGGCAACAGCAGCCTCTGAGTAGGGGGAGAAGCACCAGTGCTGCCAAATCCCCCCACCACGGCACTTCACTGCAGAGGAGCCGGCAGCTGGATTAGCAGCCAGGGAGCTCAGCACAGCACAGCACCGAGCAGAGCACTGGGATAGGACTTCCTGACCCGGGCACATTCAGAGAGCAGCATCTCCTCCCTGTGCGGCCATGCAGGTGGTTATAAGCAGCACTGTGGGGTTTGCATTGTTTCATTTTTCTTGTTGTTTGAATAGAAATGCAGTCACACTCCTAAGCAGAGGCAGAACTGTCATCTCCCAAGGCTGGGGGAAGATGTTGGGACCTCTCTGTCTCCCAGTGCCACCTCTCCCAAGCCTGAAAATCTGCTGCACAGAGCAGGACCACATACCAAAATCCTTACGTTGTCCTTCAAAGAGGAAGAGGCAATCCTGGCACTCAGTCCTCCGCCTGAAGGAGAGTCCTCCTTAGCGCTGAAGCAGTTCAGCGAGTGACTTTGGCTCCCAAGACACAACCCAGCTTTCCATCCCAGTCCACCCCCGGGTGGCACAGCACAGCCGTGTCACCAAGCAGCTCCCAGAGCCGGCATGGACGGTGCAGTGTCACTGCCAGTGCGGTACCAGCCCCACTGAGCCGGGCAGAGGGTGCCCAGCTCATCGCTGAGGTCACTTTTGGGGGGGCTCAAGCCACACACAAACCCATGAAGCAACACATAGAGAAACCTAAGGGGTGGAGGTCTCCCCTGCAGAGAGGATGGGGACCAGGGGGGGTCAGACGTGGCCCCGGGGGCTATGCTCGGGCAGCAGGTGCCGGGCGGGGGGCTGCTGCAGCAGGGCGGCGAGGATGCGCTGCAGCTGGGTGAGGCGGGCGCGCAGGGACGTGGTGGAGAAGAGGTTCAGCTGGTAGGACGGGTCAAGGGGGAGCATGGAGATGAGCCACCAGCACCACGTCGGGCCGTCTGCCGAAGCCTGGAGGGGAGAGAGCGAGAGACCCCCATGTCAGGAACAGCAAGGTGAGCGCGGGGGCTTTGGGCAGCGTCGCTGATGGGAAAGATTTGCTCTTATCAGGATGGCAATGCCAGCTTTGGCCAAGGCGTTCCTCTGAAGAGTCCTTTTGTCTGTCCAGGCTCAAAATTGCCAGATAAAGTAATTTAATTTCATAGAATCATAGAATGGTTTGGGTTGGAAAGGACCTTAAAGATCATCCAGTTCCAACCCCCCTGCCATGGGCAGGGACACCTCCCACTAGCCCAGGTTGCCCAAAGCCTCATCCAGCCTGGCCCTGGCCTTGAACCCCTCCAGGGATGGGGCATCCACAGCTTCTCTGGGAAACCTGGGACACTGCCTCACCACCCTCACAGTAAAGAATTTCTTCCTAATATCCAATCTATATCTACCCTTCTTTCAGCTTAAATTTCCAGACAAGCATTCCCCAGGGAGTCTCCAGACACATATTTAACCAGGAAAAAGTCGATACTAAAGAGACAAAGAAATATCTTGTGCTTTTCCTTGTTTAAGGCATTGCTTTTTGTAAGCATGGGCCAAATCCTGCACGGTCAATATCTTTTGGGGTATCTGCCTTATCATCACTCAAAGAGAAGAGGTGCAGGCCAGGCAGGCACAACTGCTGGTCAGTGCTTTTGTAAACCAGCTTTTTTAAAACCTGAGCCAAACTAAGAGCAAAATGCTTGATTCAGCTGAAAGGGGATGAGTCGTTTTGTAATTCTGAGCACGGCAATGACATGACTGCTGGCCAGGAGAGCTCTAGCCTGGGACAGGCCAGCAAGAGCGTATTTGTAATGATCCAGGCAGCAAACACTTTCTTAAAGGAGTGAAAACTAAATTTGGGGATTTTTTTTTTTTCCTCCAGAATCTGAATTTGTCAGAGCAATTTAATAAGCAAACTGGATCCTGACCTCTTAGCTCCTCTCCTCTGGCCAGCTATGACTGTCCCAAAGCAACACAATGAGAAAGGAGACTGCAGACTCGCTGAGCTGTGGGGTTCATTTCTTTGCTCATTTGTTTTCTTTTTTTTTCCCCCCCCAAGTGTTTTCAAATCCAGACAGTTCAGTTTCTCTGTTCTCATTTACGAAAAGACTCTGGCAAAGCTTTTAAAACTCATTGTTCCATTTCCAAGAACAGTTTCAAATCATAAAGAAACATTAAACAGTTCTAACAAACAAGTGAGTAAGAGATGCCGTAACTGGTAACGGGAGTGGAAAATAAGGTTTATTTTGCTCATCTTGAGAGGGAGCTGAGCAGGGCAGCGGGGTGGTTAGCACAGGAACCCTGCTGCTTCAGAGGCTCTCTTGGCACCCTCCCTACATAGAGCATCCCTTCCCTCGGGGCATTACCTGGATGTCTTCTTCCTTCTCCGGCAGCGGTCCGTGCTGCATCAAAAGGTGCCTGGAGGCGAGGTCCCCATGCTCGCAGAACTGCTGGGCCAGGCGGTAGGTGCTCTCGTGCAGGCACTGCAGCTCCTGCAGCTCCTCCCCAGCCACCTGCGCGGAGGGGAGAGGACGGCAGAAGGTGTTTGGGGAGGCTCTGACCCACCGCAGCCGGGGCTGTGGCCCTGGCCCTGCCCTCACCTTCTTGTCCTCCAGGAACTCGATGTCAGCGGTGTTGTAGCCGTCTCGGTGCCCGCGGCGTCCGGAACCGCTGCCGGCCGATGGTGTCCACCAAGGACCTCCCATCCGCCAGCAGCTCGATCTGCCGGATCTCCAGCATGCAGCCGTAGTCTGCAAAACTGGGGGGAGACGGAGAGAGAAAAGAGGGGCTAAGATTGGCGGTGGGAGAGCTGCCTCTCCTGAAGGCACCACTTCCAATACGGAAAAGGCCCAGAACAAGCTGGCTGGGAGGCAGAAATTCAGAGATTCACTCAACTCTGTAGTTACCACTTGCTGCTAAGAGAGCAGGGGACAGAGAGCACTGCCTGCACTCCCTTGGATGTGCCATATACCAAAATGACTTAGGTCCTCATACTGCCCTAATGTCCGGCGGTCCTGAAGACACCATTCCTTGCAGACACACCCTCCCAAAGCCCAAAAAATGTTATTTATCTCATTTCACTCAAACAGGACTGCAGCACAGGGAGGATATGTCATGTAAATAGAGGTATTTAACAGGGTTAGGAGCCTGGAGACTGAGCCCATCTGAGATCTGGTGGTGCCACCAGGAACATAAGGATGGGAACATTGCACAGAGCAAAATCCCATTTAGTCCAGTGTCCTCTCACAACTTGTTAAGGACAGAGTATGAGAAATACAGCAATTTCAAAGTGCTCACTAAGAGGAGCTGGAGGACACGGCCAGGGAACCACGCAGCTCAGAGATGTCCTGAGCCAGAAGCTGTTCCCAGCCCACTGTGTTTAACAGCAACCGTTGTCTCTGCCCAGCTCCAGCCCTGGCCCCATTCCTTGTCTGGCCAGGAGGCACAGAGATCCCGTTTCACTGCTCTGTGGGGAACATACCACCTCCCTCCTTGCTCATTTTACCATGCACTGGGATAGGAAATTGCACCTTATTCCTCCTCTCCAAACTACTAGTGGTTTTAGACATCTGGGGCTGGGGCAGAGAGGGGCAAACCAGCCAGGGCAGAGGGAAGGCGTCCTGCCCAGGAGCTCACCTTTTCCCATTCTCATATATACACATGCCGAATCTCCTCGTGCCGGTCTCCTGACACCGCCGGATCATGAGGCGGTAGCGGGGCTCGAAGACGTGCAGAGGGCAGGCAATGCCTGGGAAGGACATCGTGCATACAAAGATGGGGATGTTCTTGGTCAGGCTGAGAGACAGGAGGAGAGACCACTATGAAACCTCCCAGAGAAAACACCATCACAAGGGCCCTGCATCAGTTGCTCCCCCAAAACCAGATGTGTCCTTTACCCCAAGAAGTGATGCTCTGGCACAGAGCAACCCCAAAGCTTCCAGTTGGCTCACCAAGAGCCCACGGCTAGCCTCTACCCACAAAACAGCTCCTTGCAGAGCTGCTCCCTCATCCCCAAGTTCCCCATGGGGCATGTCCACACCCACCCAGCACTGCCATGACGTGGTGCTAGAAGTGGGACAGACATCACTGGAGCACAGCAGCCCCCTCGGAGCCCTTCTGAGCCTCCATCCATACACACACGGACACACACACGCTGGAGCAGGTCCCTGCTTACTTGGAGAGCTCGGCCATCTCAGCCCGGTGCAGCTCCCGGCGCTCGGCCAGCTGGGCGGGGAAGGTGGCCAGCATGATATCCTGCAGCAGCACGGTGGGGTTGTAGCTTCCAGCCTTCAGGTACTAAAAGAAATTAGACCCAGAAATAGGTTGGAGAAAAGCAGGAGGGGGAGCCCCGAGGTCCTGCTGGACTCTGAATCACGGTCACTTTTATTGGAGCTGAGGGTAATTTTAGACCAGAAAAAGTCAGGAATAAAACCTAACGGGGGATGTCAAGCCACCCAGCAGGATGGGATGTCAGCTCCGCCGAGACCTCCAGACACAGCTCAGACCCAGGGCCCGTCCTGTTTCTGACAGTGATGCAGCCCTTGTATGACAACCTAATTTCCCTGACGGTCTCATCCTAATCCCTTTTCATTAAAGATTAAATCAAATCTCCAGGCCAGCAGGTTTTCCATCCATTTCCATTTTTTAAAGTAATTAGCATTCACTTCTTTCCTTCTCTCTCTCTCTCTGCCTCCCAGACCTGTTTACAATCACCAAATCACTCTGGCATCTTGTGGAAATTAATCTCTTGATCCTAATTATCAACTGTCTGGTCATTCCCATGTGAGCAGAACTGATGCCACCCTGGAGCTGCTAACACGAGAGCATCAAACCTTCCCACCCCAGCCCTGGGCAGGATGCTGGCAGCTGGAGCCGGTCCCCAGCTGTCCCCCGTTTTTTCGCAGGACGCGTGCCCTCACCTCTCGCAGGCTCTGTTTGCAGAGGGGGCAGTTGGGCCGGTGGTCCAGGCAGCGTTCGAGGCACTCCTTGCAGAAGGTGTGCCCGCATGGTGTTGTCACCGGCTCAAAAAACATCCTGCAAAGGCACCAAAGTCACCAGACCGCAGAGAGCAACGTCAGGGAAGGAGAACAGGTAATCCCAGCAGAGAGAAACTTCCCAGAGCCTCTGTTCGCAGGGCTGGGGGCCCTCAAAGCTGTCATTCCCCAGGCCTGGCTCAGCACCCTGCTTTGGAAACCCCAGCTGGTCTCAGCCCCACGGTGTAGAGGTCCTACAAAGCAGTCAGGGACTTGGTTCTGGGTATCCCCAGCCTTGTACCTGCAGCTTCCTTGAATCCCCTTGCTGAGAACAAGAGATTTTGCTTCCAGCAGCAACAAAACAATTCCCATGTCCCCTACCATTTCAAGGGAAATTGGCTGCCTTCACCAGCCTTCGGCACTGAAGATAGCAATGCTGCAGGGATGCAATGCCATGGAAAACCATCTCACGCTGTGTCTTCCAAGCCCTGGCAGCCCACGGCAGTGCAACCCGCCTTTACTAAAGCTGCATTGGCCAAGCTTTGCTCATAACCCCTGTTAATTAAATGTAAAGGTTCCTAACTGGCTTATCCCTTTAATTAGAAGTCTGGGCTCAAGCTGTTAGACTTGCACAATGATGTAAGATGAGAACTGTCTCAGGCCTGAGCACTGCTTCCCATCCCTGGGGGGTCCCCACAGACCCCATCAATACACACATGCACTCCTTGGTCCCCGCAGGGCTGTGGTTCCCCAGACACCCACGGCAGCGTGTAGCCCAAAAGGCAGCAATGTGAAGCACCTCCTTCTCCCCCGCTCCAAGAGCAAAGCCAGCAGCAAGGACTCGGGGTGCTCACAGGTAGCTCCAGGATCAGAAATGAAATGAAGGTCTCAGGAAAGCCCTGATCAGTGCTGAGCTCTGACTCCTCCTGAACATTATGCTTCCCGGCTCTCAGAAGAGACCTACATTCACTTAATTCAGATCAGATACCACCTTGATCTCTCTCTCCTCCGTGTCATTACCCTGTGCCATGCCCAGAGCTGGAAAAAGCTGCTGTACAGGAGACCTTGACCGTCTTTAACATCCAGCAGTGTAACACCCAGCCCTCTGCCAGCAGCCGCTTGCACAACTGCTCGAAGTCCTGGGACACGCCAGAAATAACAGCCTGGTTTCAGCATTCCCTGTGGCAGCACCCAGCCCTTCCCCTGCCCCAAGTCAGCAGATGGACATGGGCTCAACCTGTTCCCATCTTCCACCTCCAAGCACAGAGCCCAGAAATGCTCCTCCCTGGGTTCACAGTACCCCTGTCACTGATTTCCCTGGGGCAACACCTTCCTGTTCCAGCCTCCAGTTACAAAGAGCAACCACCGCTCCCAGTCTCTGACCCCACTGAACATCCCCACCTCTGCTCCAATGTCCCAAGCGATACAGACCTAACGATGCTGCGCCCTAAGACAGACGATCTGAGCTCAGCTCTTACATCCTGGTGGGGCAAAGACCTGTCCTCCCCTCTTATCTCAACCGAAACCTGCATTTCAGCAGTACTGGTGATTGAGTTTGCTATTAAGAGGTGAAGATCCACACCAGGAAAGAAAACCCAGCAGGTGCTAATTCTTCATTCTAAAAGCTCTCGTGCCAGAGAACTCACCGTATGCAGAGGGAGCACTCCAGGTCAGCCAGGCTCAGCAGCTCCCCGAGGCACGGCTGGGTATACTTCACCGCTGCTGTTTCCTCTTCGCTATCTAGTGGCAAGTAGGAAATGCACCATAAAACCCCCCTATTAACCCATCCGCATTCATCCACCACTTTTACATCAGTGGGTCTCATGGTGCTTGGTAGAGGAAGGTGGTATCTCCTGACCTCCTTTTGCAGGCAGGGAAACTGAGGCACTGGGAGGTGAAGTGGCCTAAGAAGCTGTCACAAGGCATCATCACTGCTTTATGCAAACCCACATACGTGGAAGCCAACTGGCTGGATGCTGATGGCAAGTTAATGCCAACGGAGGTGCCGCTTCCCCCAACACATTGACACACCGTGTCCCTCGCAAGGGAATGTAAGTTCTGATCTAAAACCCATGGGAAGCAAAGGAAGCCTCTCCCTGGCTCCGCACAGGGAAAAAAAGGCTTTAGCAAGAACTTTTCACCAAGGTAGACCCAAAGATTTGGTGTACATCCACCAGCTCAACACAGGAACATCAGATCCTCCTGACGTGCATGAGAAGCAGCAAACTGCTGGCCAGCGCTGCCCCACGGCGTGCCCCTGGCTGTCTGCTCGCTGAGCTGCCACACAGCGCCAGCTCTAAGTTTTCAATGCCAAAATGGATTTTAAACAAGTATTTTGCATGACATAGATTTTGGTACCTTTGACGACACTCACCTACCAACTGCCGGTCCTGCCCCTCTGCCGACGTCTCCGGTTCCTGCCATCGCCCCAGCTGGGGATGGGTGGCTGTCCCTTGGTCCTGCTCAGACCCAGCATCCCCTCTGCCATCCACCAGCTCTCCCTCCCGATCCTAGACACAGCAAAGATGAAATTAAGCACGAAACCTCTTCTCCCTTTGAATACACCACCCCACCTGCCCTACCGAGCCCCATGGCACCAGGAGTTTTTCTCCAGTGTTGCTGCATATTAACATCTTACATCTGAGGGACAGCAGGAGAGCGTGGCCTTCAGCCATCCCTGCTCATCTAATGGTAAAACATGGGTTCAGTCTGTCCAGATGTACTGTCTGGTATTTGGGTATATATGAGCCCATTTTCTCTGATTTCCCCCTCTCTCCAAACTTGACAAATTTCTCTACAAAAAGCAAAGAGCAAAAGATGAGCTTTCCTTGATAGCTGCTAATGGTCCGAAGTGCTCTCAAATGTGGGTTTTGGATGAAAAACAACATTAAAGCTGATTTTTTGTTGTTGTTGTTTGTTGAATGTACAGTGATTTGGGTGTTTTAAACACAATAAGTCTAAAATCTTACCATAAGCATTGCAGAATAAAACAGGAAGAGGAATGGAAGACAGAAAGAGCCTCCTCTCTGTCCCCAGTACCCACAGCATAGCTCCAATGGTGTCTTTGCTCTCCCACCCTCTGCTACCTGCAGCTTCCCATCTCAGCACACAACCACGTGGCTATGATCCTGCACAGCCTCCCCTTCTCACACCTCCATTCCCATCACTGGAAAACCCCAATTTGGGATGTCCCAGACGGATATTAACTCCCACTGCAGTCTCAGATGGTTGCAGGTTCTCTTACCTGAGCTTGTGGGGAGGAAGATGGGAATGAAGGGCTCCCTTCACCAACCTGGGGACCAGTCGAGCCCTGGTGAGCATCACCTGGGAGTGCAGCAGCTGTGCATGGCCGAGGAGCATCCTCTCGCATGAAGATCTGCAAGGAGAAAGCGGGGCTCAAGGGGTGCTGGGAGAAGGAAGCAGGGAGGCGGGTGAGCTGCCAGACTCCCTTCTTCCCCAAAGCAGCCTCCTGCTTGCCACAGGGCACATCACAGTTACTTGTTTCAGCACTGGCTGAGCTCTCTGTCAGACAAAATGCCTTCGCATTGCCTAAGGAGGGAAGTAGCACAAGGCAGCGAACAAAATGGTGTGTTTTAAGGACTGGGACCCATGTTTTCCATCACCCAAAAAGAGCAGGAAGGGAGTGAGCTGTGGTGGGTACAAGGTCATTCCCCATTCCCCTGCCCTTTCGCTCCGAGTGGGCCAATGTCCACGCATGGCATGTCCCCCCCCTGCCGGGGACACTGCCAGAGGCCCCACTGGTGATGGTAATTTTGGTACCTGGGTGGGCACCAGCCTGAAAACATCTGCAGAAAAGACACTGGCTTTCCAGTGGCAGCTTTGGGCTGGCTGCTTTGCTTTGGGTGACTACTGATGCTGCCTCGAAGCCCACGTCATGCCATGGCAGCATCTAAACCCTGCCAAACCTGAGACTCAAAGATATGGACTGAGGAAGAGGAGTTTTCTTCATGGTGAACCTGCACTGAAGCGATGGCAAGGCTCTCGGACCAGGATCCTACTTCCCTCAATATCAATGCTGGCCAGAGAAGCATGACCATGGTGGACGTGAGTCCTTCAGAGGACAAGGTCATCTCCCTGTGGAGTGCAAGAGCACAAGACCCTGCCACGGTCCAGCCCACACACCTTCTCCATCTCTCTCCGAGCAGGGTGGAAATGGGGACTGAGCGTCAGGCAGTGCTCCAACGCCAACAGGGCTTCAGCTCTCTGTCCCATCTCCAGAAGCACCTTCCCTTTCCTGAAGAAACCCTGCAGAGCAGAAAAACCTACAGTGACCAGCTGAGCACGTGTCCCTTCAGCTCCCATGCGAGCCCCCAGGGAACCTCCCTCCAGCCTCCTGCCTGCTCCCATCCCAGCCCAAAGCACCCACACACGCCGCTGCTCCCATGATGAAAAACACAGGTCCACCCACAGCCAGGCACTCGTAAAACAGAACTCTCCCAAAATGCAGCAGGTGCAGAAGCCAAGCAAACAAACCCTGCAGAGATCTAGAGGACGCCAGGGCTTCTGCCTTTGAAGCCACAAAACTACTGTCAACGAGTGCTTCACAAAGCAGCAAGTGAGCTCCCAGGGTTGACTCCTCCAAGGTCAGCTCAGCCTCCAGCCAACACTTTACCAAGCCCCCAGCTGCGATGCTCTGCACCAGCATAGCTCCCTGCCCTCACCACCCACCCATGAGCAAGGACGGACGGGGCACCGGACCTCTCCTGTTAGGGCAATCCCAGCTGCGATGCTCTGCACCAGCACAGCTCCCTGCCCTCACCACCCACCCACGAGCAAGGACAGATGGGGCACCGGACCTCTCCTGTTAGGGCAACGCAGTGCTTGCACTGGATTTGCAACTTAACGGCTTTGGCAAGTGTATTTCCGAGCAGGATGAATCCAATGGCTAGGAGAATTCAGGCAAGTGTATTTCCGAACAGAATGAATCCAAGGGCTAGGAGAATTCAGGAAAGGGGGAAACTGCTCCCGTACAGTAAGATTTGGCTCCCAACAGAGCTGGCTGCAGGGACGTCCCCTCCGCTCACCTCGTGCTCTCCTGGCTCAGCCCTGCACACAGTCTCCAGGTCCTCCAGCGCCTGGCGGTGCTGTCCCAGGGCCACCAACGCCTCTGCCCGGCACAGCCGCAGGGAGCTGGCATCTGGGGCTGCAAAGAGAAAAGTCGTCACTTGTGTGATGAGTCCACGTGCGGTGAGGCAGTGGGGCTGGATGAGACCCCACCATGGAGGGATGGTCC